TTGTGATTAGAGGAGTTTCTATGCTAGATGCCTCCAGGACCAGCCTCTCTATCTCAAAAAGGGCCCATTCTAAACTGAAAAACATGGCTCCCCTTGGGACAAAGGAGTGTCCCAAAGACAACCAAGGTCAGGCTGTCCCCTCATCTGACCCTAGTGCTGCAAACATTTCCTCAAGCAGACAGGGTATGTTTCTATAATTGAAGCATGTGAGGGGACAGCTTGGGGACACTACTATTACTGAAAGGAAAACCCCTCTAGCCCACTTACCCATCGGTGATATATGAAGTAATGGTAGGAAGGTCCTGAAATAGCTTTCTCTCAAACCCATGTGGGCTGCACAAACAGAGACGTGCTGGGACCACAGACAGTGTCTTTCCTGCTCCCAAGAAGCACAGGTATCAGGAAGGCTGTCATTCCTCGGAGAGTAGAGCTGCCAGCCCTACCCTTCAAGCCACAGAGGCGCTGACTGTCAGTGCAATGACTTCAAATTAGTTTTTAAGTCTGACTCAGTTGAAGAGGGTAATTTACCCTCTAGGGTGGGGTGCAGTAGTGGAGACATCTGTCAAGTGGCTGCCTTCTGGGGACCTGTGTCGCCATCCCCTGCCAGGGTAGGACTGCCTTCCCTGCTGTTTGCAAGAGTTCTCCCCACGTGTTGGGTTTTGAAGGTCGTTATGAAAAGAGGGGCCTTGAAAGAGGAAGAGAAAGGACAGCTTCGTGAAAGAGCCTTTGTGGGTGCTGTCATCACGATGAATGTCTCTATGGTGACCAAGGCCGGCTGGAATACAAGCAGAACAGCCATCACCCACTCCCAGTTAGAGGCAAGCAGGGAAAGAGTACAGAGAAGGACAAAGACTTTACAACCCTGTCTGAGGAGCTGCAGTCTTGCTTATGCCTCATAGAAGAGAATGTGGTTTTATCCACAAAGCTCAAGCCCTTCAGATGAGAAGTTGCAAGCCCCTCCTCGGGTGGCCAGCAAGGTTCTCAGATGATCAAGGGTATATAGAAGCATCTTGCCAAGAGCTGTCAGTGGCTGGGAGATCAAAGGCCTTGGCTCATTCAATATTTATTCAACAAATATACAGGATCCAGCTTCAAACCGAGAGCTGAGTTCAGTAAGCCAGAGAGGCAACTAAACAGGTCTCCAAAATCAAAGTGGAGTCTGAGAGTCAGGTATCGGACCTTAGGATGCCAATGGCCACAGGAGGAAAGAGCCATGGGAGGGGTCACTGCCCAGGACAGAGCTGTGTTCTCCGTGGCACACAGTGAAGATGGTAGCTTAAGTCTGTAAAAAGGAACAGAAAAATGAATGAGGCGGAGAGTGTTCATGCAGGCACCGCCATCTAAGATGTCTTCCAAAGGCAAGGCCAGAAGATCACAGCCCTGGCCTGGGGGAAAGAGGAACCAAGGCCCTAAGCAACTAAACCTTGCCCCAGGAATCACCGACCTGCCTGGAGAGCACAGCAATGTGGATGACATGGGAGCAGAGGGGCTCGTGGGGGAAGAACTCAATGCCTTTCCTTCAGGGTGGAGAGTGGAAACTCATGGCCGTCTGAGAATACTACACTACCCCTCCCCACCCACCTCTCACTTCTTCTGGTCCCCAGAAATCACCTCTTCAGCTGAGCTTCAGTTCTACCAACGGTCTTGCCCAGCCTGGATGTAGGACACCAGAACCCACGACTGAGCTGTGAAGGCCTTCCAGCTCGAGTCCCACAAGCCCTGCCCTGTGTTAGCTGCCCTGATTCCAAAGTGCCAGCACTCAGGAGACTCAGCTTTGAGCACACTGCTCTGTCTGCCTCAAAGAGTCTATTCTTCATCTTCTTCAACAGGCCACCCACTTTCTCTGACCAAGTTATCATCAGTTCCATGACCAACCCCCAGTTAGAGGTCTCTTCTGGTATGATGCAGGTCCTGACACAAGGCTCACCCCAACAATGTGCCACTACCCTATGCTCAAGACTTGGGTCTTCCCAAACCCAAGCTCAGCTTGGGATGATCTCCTTCTCTGTGAACAGCAATACCTTGCACAGACCTGGTATAGGGTATGTACTCACTAATCTGTGGTCAGGATGATCACAATCACCAGTGACCTGGAAGCTCTTGTCCCCACATGAAGACAGTACAAATCGCACTGGCAGACATCCACGTACCTACCAGCTTCCTGGAAGGCAGTAGATGATCAATAAAGTAGGCTTAATATAGACTCACTTATTAAGGCAACATCTCAAATGCTGTAGTGATGCCTCTTAATGAACACAATATAATGTAATACATGGAAATACCTAGTTTTAGTTCTTTATCCTCTAAATCATTTGACTCATTCGGTGTAAGATGGCAAAGTTAGTCTAGACGTTTTAACAGTTCTGTGACAGCATTTTATCAGTGTTCTTCCTCAAGAAGGGTCCTGACTTCAAGCCCTCCACGTCCTGGTCAACTGTGGAGCTTTATTCTGAATTAGAAAAAAATTCAAAGTAAAATATGGAATAACATATGCGGACTTTGCTTGCTACACTAGGGAAAACCAGCTTAGATGTATTTTGTGTGGCAGTGTGAGATAAACAATTCCATATGCATTCCAGGAGCCATACTGTGTGCTGCAAGGACTTCAGGGACAACCCAGCATTCCTGATATCTTATAGACCCCCCAACTCTGTCCCCACCAAGTAAACCATGTTCCTATTGCCCAGCCTCTCCTCACTAGAACAGCACTGTCTCTTAAGACACACATACCAACCACAACCCTGACACCTTCCTGGAGAGTTCCTTCCCTTCTTGCATTGGTCTAGTCAGAAGTGATGCCTGACACAGTAAATTATTTAAGATGCCTACTGTGCACATCTTCACTATAGTGTTTAGGTTTGCTCAGTGCACAGTCATTATTAGCACGTTATTGCTCAATGGTAGATGTTCATAAACAAAATAGTTTAAAGCATAATACCTTCTCCTGGAGTCTGGAAAAGCAGGGGAAGGGGTGAAGCTTATGCTGAGAAAACATAGCAAGGCTTTCTGAAGCAATATAAGCTGATGCTGTAGACTCTGACCCACTTAGCACCCACTGAAGACATTTCTGGGCACATAACCTCTATAAAATCATTATAAGCATAATTTAGAAATAACCCCTTCCTCAAGGACACCTAAATTTCAGGCCTTTCCCCTGAGATTCCCATGTGCTTGTGGGGAATCTACTTCCAGGTCCAGTGAGGCAGGCTGGAGCATTATTGATAAAAACAACCCCTAAATGTAACTCTGAGGTTTGGGCAAACATCTAGAGATACATACTGAGACATAATGGATGAGACAGAAGACACTCCAAACATTGTGTGTTCAAATTACAGGAGCATGAGGCATGAAGAAAGAGGAAGACTGCTTCACCATGGCTCCTGTGTGGCCTTGGAAAGTTTCAGCTTCCCTCACTTCCGCTTCTCCATCAGTTACAGGGCTGGTGGTTGACAGATCTAGGAGCACACCAGAAGTTCCATCTAGAAACTAGTGCTGTTCTTTGCCATCGGAGGGATTAACAGTCCCCATTTTTAAAAAATCAATTTGTATTTAAATTAGAAACAATCTTATTTTACATATTAATTCCCAGTTCCTTCTGACCCTTGTCCTCCCATGTCCCCCACTAACTCTCCCATCCCACTTCCCATCCACTTCCCAGGGAGAGTGAGGCCTTCCATGGGGGATCATCAAAGTCTGTCACATCATTTGGGGCAGGACCTAGGCTCTCTCCTGTGTATCCAGGCTGAGAGAGTATCCCTCCAGGGGACTGGGCTCCCAAAGTCCATTTGTGCACTGGAGATAAATACTGGTTCCGCTGCCAGAGGCTCCATTGACTGTCCAGGCTTCCCAACTGACACCTACATTTAGGGGACCTGGTTAGGTCATACTGGTTCCCCAGCTGTCAGACTGGGGGTATAGCTCAGAGATAGAGCATTTTACTGCAGTCCCCATTGTTTTCGAGGCTTGGTCCACAGGGAACCAGTGCTGAGATGTAATAGAACCTTTCAGAGTGTGGCCCAATAGGATATCTCTATGTCACTGGGGATAAGCCTATGAACAAGGCTGTAGGACCTGAGCCTGTTTGTCATCCTCTCTTTCACATCAGTGCCATGGGGTGGCAGTTATCTCTGCCGCAGGTCACTGCCATTATACACTGTCAGAGTTCCAAATCAATGAGGATGACAGAGCATGGACCAAAACCCCTCTGTCCTTGTGGTTGGTCATCTCAAGTACCCACTCCAGTGGTAGGAAGTTGACAGACATCTAAACTAAGTAGCATTGCTGAGGGGAATTATCTTTCTCTCCTACAGCTATCTTCCATGTTTGGTAGCTAGCTGTGGCAAGGTTGTCACTTTGAGTGAAGACTGGTACATGGGTACACCAGTTTCCCGGGCTCTGGGAAGATGACAAACATCCATTGTCATCCTCTGATGCCCATTGTTCCTAAAGATCTCAGGGTTAGCTGGTCCTTCCCACTGCCTCTCTCCCCATTCTTCCCTCCTACTCTTTCCCAAAGCTTGACCCTATATTGCTAGCCTAAACAATATCTACCCCTCTGCCTAAGGCCCCAGTGACAATGTTCACCCTGGGAGTCAATGAGTTTGTGGGACTTATTATCAGAGCACAGGTGAAGCATTCTTAAGGAAATGTGGGTGCTAACCCACAAAGGCTGCACGGGAAATCATTTACCCAGTAGGGATGGTGGCTTTCCCACAGCCACACAGATGGAGCTTCCGCACCTAGTCCTTCCCAGCTATATCCTCTGGATCCTCCTGCACAACGTCCCCATCCCCCACCACCCCACCAGCCCCAACTCCCCTTCGGTGAGGCCCCCTGTTGTGAGGGGGAAATTGTGTACAGATGGCTGGGAGAGGTAGCAGGATATGCAAGGCAAGGATCCCATGAACCTCAAGCTTCCTCCTTCTGTGGGAGAGCTTTGATTATCTATCTATCTATCTATCTATCTATCTATCTATCTATCTATTTATTTTTGTGATCAGGCCCAGAAAAACTCCTGAAGATAGCCATGGTTTGGCTCAGAAGATAATTCCATACAGCAGCCCACTATAGCCAAAGCATTGGACATGGCTTCCCCGTGTGACTAACCCAGCATAGCAGGAGATGGTGATGGCCTTCAACACACTGTACAGGTAAAAATGGGGTCTCCCTTACTTCCAGTAAGTCTTCACACCACTCCTCTTCACAAAAGGGTTGACAGTGAGTGATGGCCCGAACGCCCACCAAGCTCGTTTGCTGCCTGCACAGGAGAGCATTCAAATCCCACAAAGAGAAACTATCCCTGTCCTTGGTGAGGTTGCACGGGTGACCGCTCCTCTGTCTGTCTTGCCGGCCCCGAACTCCAACCGAGCAGGACGGACAGGGTGATTGCTCCTTAACTTAGCCGTGAACGTGCTTCATCTTCAGCCCACAGTTAAAGACACTCTGCAGGCAGCCTACGCTTAGGGACAGGACACCGTAAGGCATTGAAGAGTTGTTTTCTAGAGATCAGGGCACGCATGCAGGATGGGGCTCGATAGAAAATACAACCAACTGTAGCCAGGGAAACTCGGCTCCTGCAAGGCACTCTTTCCCACTGCAGAACAAACAAACAAACAAACAAATGCAGCGACTAGGAGAGGGAGGGCAATGCCCCACCTTGCAGGTCACTGTCCATCAATGGTTACCACTGCCTAGGGTGGGTGTACACTGGAAGAATGCTTATTGCAAGAAGGGAGAATCGCTGACCCAGAAGTCAGTGTCTATTAAGGTTTGCACGCAGTAGGCGACAACAGTGTGAATGCTGGCTCAACCCATCTGCGTCCTCAGGACTGGCCCAGCCCCGATGCCTGCTCACTGCTGAAGAACAGGTAGAAGCACAAGCAGTGTGTCTTCCCGTGGCGTGATGCTAATGGCTGTCATTCATCAAGCTCTCATTATGTGCCAGGAAGGTAGTTTATATTTAAACCTGTCTGATGGAGAAAATAAAATCCCAACTTTATAGATGGGAAAAACGACACCATGAGTATCCAACAGGTTAGACGAGGTCCCAAGGAGTAAAGTGATGGGGCCAGGACCCACAATCCTGTTATGGAAGAAGGGACCTACGGTTGCTTCCCTGCCTCTGGCATGTGGATACAAGCTTAGTCTGTGATCGCTAACACAATAAGCATTGGGAGAATGACCAAGACTGTTCTCTGCTGTTACAGAAACACAACTTCTGCTGAGCAGACTATCAGCCTCCATCCACAGCATACCAGACAGCAGGTGAAAGAATCTCTTCCTGCAGTTTCTAGGAGGAACCTCAGCCCAAGAGCATCCACAGCAAAGGTGTGACCCCTCCCCAATCCACATGTGTATCCCAGTCTACCCATACCCTTCATGAAAAATCCCAAAGGGAAGCCTGGCATGCCGAGGAGCCCATCTCCATGCCTACATCCACATGATCTTTAAACTCCTTCTGAGGAGCGATCTGACTCACTCAGCAATGAGTTCACAGGTGAAGTGGTGATCCCCAGCTCTGCCTGTCAGCCTGCTCACCTTGAAGATCATGGACTTGGGGCATTCCTGAGGCATAGGCCTTGGCTATCCCTGAGACTGTCTGGATGTTTACTTGTGCCTGTGCCACTGGAAGAAGTCTTACTGCTCTCCTGCGTGGTACCTGGTCTCCCAGGAGGAAGGACACATTCCCCACCTCACAGCTACCAGAAAAGTTCAAGCTTACCAAAGGGGCACACACATTGAGTTCATTTCTACCATCAGGAACACAGTACATGCAGACTGGGTGTTCACCGACCTCTAGGAAAACAGTCAGTGGCTTGCATACCAGAGAGGAAAAATCCACACAGTGACTCTTGGATATATTTAAACAGACACAGACTCCCTTCCTTGACTTGTGTCTAACAGGAAGCAGAAGGAGTGGCAATGATTAAGCCTCAGGGTGGGGTGGGGGGGGGGGGGTGGATCAGCTTCCTGTAAGCAGGAGAGACTGGGTTATCATGCATGTTCAAGGAGCAAGAGGGACACCTGGTTCCACTGAACTTAAAAAAATTAGCACTGCCAAGGCAAGTACCATGAAGCTGACTGTTTAAGAAAATGGGCTAAAGAGATCTCTCAGCAGTTAAGAGTTCTGGCTGCTCTTCCAGAGGACCAGGGTTCAAGTCTCTGCACCCAGATGGAGTTTACAGCCATCTCTAACTCCAGTCCTAGGGATCAGACACCATCTTCTGACCTCCAAGGTCTCTACACACGTGTGATGCATAGTCTTCCACGCAGGGAAAACCCACCCACATTTTTAAAAAGTTAAGGCTGCAAAAAATTATAAACACAAACTATTTTTAGGTTACCATGCACCAGAAGAACAACATGTTGTGTGAGGTAATGCTGACAAATTTGAAGGGTCGAACAGCAGTAAGAGCCTAGTGGAATGGCCCCATTCCTCATCGCGGGAGCTTGTACCCATGTTCCTGACACAAGAGAGACAGCTTCTTGATGCTGTCATGACCTTGACTCTTAACTCACCCCTGCTTCCAAGTGGTGTGCAGCTAGCTGCCCAGGCAGCACACTCCTCCCCCAGCCCACGGTCTTCCACAGAAAGGGCCAGAGCTGCGGGTTCTCGCCCTTCCAGGTTCTCAGCTCTCTGCTGTCTCCCTGCTGTCTTCTGAGGCGTGCCCCTCTGCTGCTGCACTCCACAGGCCTCTACATACTTAACTCCACACACCTCTACATACTTAGTGTCAGGGGTGCATGCCCTCCTTCAGAGTTGGCCATCAGAGAAGAAAACACACATCCCTGAAATCACACAAACCACCGTTTCTTCCCATTTTACTTCACATGTGGTAATTTTATCACTGCCAAATTCCTACTAGTACTAGAAAAGAGGCCAGTCGGAAAATGGAATTTTTTAACATGTGTTTAGATAGTCAAGAGATTTGCCTTCACTGCTACTTTCAGTAATTTCAAGGGTACACGTGAATATATCAGGATGTTGCATGCTATTGTTTTGTACTAGAAGGCTACTGCTGAAGACAGCTAAGATACTCTAAGATGAAGCTCATGAGCCAAAACATGTACATACAGTCAAACCTGAAAGACAGTGACAAACAGAAGGTCCATGCCTTGGAGAACACCCCAGTCAGCCCAGGAAGGCAAGAGAGGCCAATAGTCATGGAAGGTTATAGGAGAATGCACAGCTGGAACAAACCATGTGGCCTGAGGGCAGGTGGGCACAAGGGGACCTCCGGAGAGGCACCACATGCCCCTGGCTACCAGGAGAGATAGCCAGATGGAAATAAACAGTGAGGAGAGAGGATGAGACTGTAGGGAAACTGAGGCTGGCAGTCACTGAGCAGTGGGTTTTGAGTAAAACATAAAAATCAACTCAGGAATGAAAGAATAACCAGTACTCTTTCTAGCTGTGGGATGGGGGAGTTTTCCCAACAGGAATGCTCACAGTAATGACAAGTTTTCTATGATCTGCCCGTGCCCAGCAGCACACGCCCCAAAGGGTATCATGGAAGCCCAACTGCACTGAAAGTATGAGGGTGGACACCGGTCCCTCCTCCCAGAGACAGGCTCACGGCTTACTCTTCAAATTCACTCCTACTGAGATGACATGTAATGGACACTCTGTTCTGTATGGTTACAAACCCATACAATGACACATGGCTCCATGTGGCTCTGGAAGGTGGCCTTTCTCGGGGGAGGACTGGAGTAGCCATACTCCCTGTGTCCCGACACGGCTGTTTTATGTCTTGTAGCAGTCTTGCAATGAACCTATAATGGTGGCCACACACCGCCTTGGGCGTGGCTACAGACACGTGCAAGCAAAAGAGGGAAGCTTGAGGCGTGGCTTTCCTTTGCGTGCTCTTTCTGGTGGGCCAGCAGAACAGGCAGGAAGGGCAGAGAAATGCTCCTGCGGTTCTGTGTGTTTTCTGTGTAATTTTTCCCCAATAAACACCCATTTATCATTTATCTTGGGTCTAGTGAAATAATTACATCCTCGCCTTCAATGCCTCCTGGCCTTTCTTCCACCCCTCACTGACAGACAGCACCCCAGTCCCGACACTGCATGGAAATATATGGGCCACATATCCATCCACATTCTTGGGCTTCATGACCTAGCTCCTATCCTGCCTCTCCTAACACTTTTCAGCCATGCCACTGTAAATCACTTCATTCCTTCCTTTGCTCATTCATTCATCATTAATTCATTCATCATCCATCCATTCATTCATTCATTCAGTCAAGAAATGCTTCCTGAACCCTTCCACGTGTCTAGAGCTAGGAGTCGTCTTCAGAAAGTCAAAAGCAAAGTAGATATGGTTTGTATCTTCTTCAAGTCAGCCTGACAGTACAGTCGGATACAAATAAATAAGCAATTAAATGTAGCATAATGAGAGAGGAACTGTGTAATCAGGGCTGTGTAATTAGTTTCATAATAAATCGAGCATTGAACAGCATTCCAATTTTGCATTTAGTTTGGGTGCTTCTAGCTTCGTCGCCCCTATTAACAAGCAGCTTCCTGAAGACAGGGACCTAAGCACCATGGCCTGTCGGGCGTGTGCTTGACATTCTCCTTTTCATTTATTTACATTGGTATTTTGCACAGCATGCTGTGAGATACATGTAGGAAAGGGAGTTGATGTGCCACAGCTAACAAATGTACATACATATCATATACCATAGTGGTGTGTGTGTGTGTGTGTGTGTGTGTGTGTGTGTGTGTGTGTGCACATGTACTCATGAGCTCACATCATATACCGTAGTGGTGTGTGTGTGTGTGTGTATGTGTGTGTGTGTGTGTGGGTGTGCACATGTACTCATGAGCTCACATCATATACCGTAGTGGTGTGTGTGTGTGTGTGTGTGTGTGTGTGTGCACATGTACTCATGAGCTCACAAGTGCATACATGAGTGTGCAAAAGTACCTCTTCTCTGTTGTGAAATTTTTAGTACACTTTAAAATTGGGCAATTTAGGGTCTTGTTATTAAATTATGTGTATTACTTTGGGTTTCAAGCTATATTATAAAGCAAGAGCAAAACAGACATAAAGACCAACAGAATATCAACAGAGAAAACCCTAAAATAAATCCAACTATATACAGTCAAGCAATATTCAACAAACCACCTGAAATACACAATGGAGGAAGGACAGAATCGTCAATTAGCGGTGAGGAAAAAAGCATTCACTCATGAAAGAAGAAAAACTGACAGAGAAGAAGGCCGCCAAGGCCAGCTCAACTGGACAAGGGATCTAAACAGAGATCTGAAACTTTAAAATCTCCAGAAGGAAACAGACGCGTACATTCCTTGGTATTGTCTGAGACTGTGGGTCAGGGATTTCGCTTGTTTGTTTTTAATATCACACCAAACTCCCCAGGCAACAAAGCCAAAAATAAACTGGTGGCCCCCTAACACCCCATCAAACTGAAAAGCAAAGGAAATAACTGACAAAGTTAAAAGGTACCTGTCAAACCAAGAGGAAGCGTTCACAAACTGTAGCTCTAATGAGTACTCGATACCCATCTATGGACTTTATCTGAAGGCTTTAAAAAGGGAAACTACAGACACCTGTAGGAAACTCAAACTATAAGCATACAAAGTTTGAGAAGTCTGTGACTTGTCACTTACCTGGCACGTGTCATCGTGAATGATGACAGAGGAGGCACAGGCTCCGGTCTCATGGTGACTCACTGCTGAGGATGATGTTCAACTGGATGAACACTCCGGGGTCCAAAGAGCAAGGACAAGGGGCTCTGACCCAGGCAGAGTGTGCACCGGATGAACAGCATGGTTCCACAGGAGGCAACACCTTGACAACAAATCTTTCCCAGCTACAGGAGTCAGATTCTGATGGATTCAATCGACCCCTGACCTTCTTCCCAACACCAGATGCTATATTTGAAAGACATTTTTGAAGTTGATAGAAAGACAGCAGTATCCATACAGTATGTTCCATAAGCAGACACGTCATGAACACCCACTAGAGTAATCAATGGGCAAGTGGTGGGTCGGGGTCTGGGACTTCCAGTGATTTCCTCATCCTGGGCTTCCTCTCAAACCTGAAGTTGGGAATCTGCAATTCCAAAGCCTTTGCTGTTATTAATGCCACCTCACCTTTTTAAAGGATGGCATTTTATTTATGTGTATGTGTATATGTGTGTGACATGTTTACAAATGCCCACAGAGGCCAGAAGACAGTCACTGGATTCTCTGGAGCTGGAATTACAGGCGATTGTAAATTGTTTATGTGGGTGTTGGGAACCAAACAAACATCCTCTTGAAGAGCAGGAAGTGCTTTCAACCTTACAACCATCTCTCACATCTTTGCTGCTCATCTGGACCTCCATCTAATCTTGCGTTTCCTTGACATCTAACAGGAAACTCTGCTGTTGTGGCAAGATCCACACACCTTCTGGCTAAGCCCCTGTGAGATCTGTCCTTCACAGGCAGACACCAAACGGCAGTTTGGTGCCTTTTTTTGCTATGGGGTGGTGATATGAAGCATTCTCCACGCTTCTCCATCCTTTTGAAATTTGATCCTTGATGTTTGCTAGTGGGTTCCCTATTCCTCAACTGCTTGATCTATTTTAAAAGGCGTGTTCTTTTCTTTCACAAAGATGAGGCATACATTAATTACTGTCTATAATGCTAGAATTAAGCTAAATCTATGGAGATTGCCCTGATAGGTAACTGCCAGGGAAGACGATTCTGCGTGTGTGTGTGTGTGTGTGTGTGTGTGTGTGTGTGTGTGTATGTGTGCGTGTGTGTAAGTTTCTGGTGTCCCCCCTCCCCCCATCCTGCAGCTGTTTAGTCCCAAATAACCACACCGAGGCTTATATTAATTATAAACTGTTTGGCCAATGGCTCAAGCTTCTTATTGGCTAGTAGCTACATGGCATCTCCTTCGCAGCTCCCTCTCT